AGGGCCAACAATCTCATTCGACATAACTAATGATGTGGAGTGTCAATTTGATTTTCCAATCACTCAAAGGGAATTTCTCTTCCGGTGCTTCGAAAAGATTGAGAAATTTGTCATCTGTGATAATGATGTAAACCGAAAGATCTTTTCGTTATACTTGAAATATGTGAAATCGCAATATGAGACATGGTGTTTAAAAAGAATTATGGCATTGAAGGTTGGATTATCGATTCAAACAGAAGACTTCTTGAATGTTCAGTTCAAAGGATTTCGAGGTTCCAATCACATTCTTCACGAGTTCACCTTGGCTGATCTGCCATATATGAAACCTTATGATTGGTTATCTCTGTTTTACATTGAGGCGAAGGATGTCCAGAAATATGAGCCGATTATTGAATATCATAAGTGGATGATCAAGTGCTACATCCTTGAAATTGAGAAAATGGATGTCGAGATTGTTGTCGTTATGAAGAAGAGGCCTATTCTGAAACCATACGAACAACCGGAAGACATCCAACATTTGAAGGCAGGGATTATTCGAAAGAAGAACTGGAGCATTGTTTACAAAAGGAAGTAAGGTGAAGTGATTTAGAACTGCATATTACTTTTAAGGGACAAACATTTGTACTCGACAACTGCTCTCAAAACAATCTTATCTTCAACTGAAGCTCACAAAGCCAAATCTGATGTCGATGTAAAGTGCGTTTCGGATATGATTCTTTGGTACCTATATTTCCGATCATCGCTTTTGAAGATTATGCCAAAAAAATTTGACGCACCAAGACAGTTATGAAGACCTCCTTCTATTTGACACAAAGGGGGAGATTGTTAAGTCTAAATTAGTTTTGTGTCAAATGTATGTTTTAGATTTATGTTTAATTCTGATTTTGAAATTGGGCCTCTCCATGTTTGAAATTACTATCTTAGTTTGTCTATATATAGCATGCATGTAACATCTAGGGTTACAATTTTTGAAGCAATTACAAAATAGTTCCCCCTCCAAGAATTGTTCAATTGCTGTGATTAATACATTCAACACCTTTTCAATCATTGTCGTTTCTTGTCATTTATTATTCTCATAATATAGAATCTACCGATCTTTTAATATTTCTCACAGGGGGTGTAGTGAATCAAATGAACATTCGCTCCAATTATCTTTGATCAGTATAATTCAATAACACTTACAGACTAAGTTTGTTGGTGTATTCCACAAGGCGGAGTTTAGTCAGTGGTCGTCATCCCACTCCGGCAGATGACTAGTCATCCAGGTGCCTAGCGGTTGCCTGAGTTAGACATACCTACTAAGGCAAAAGGAATGAAGAAAATTTAACTATATAATCATACATTTACTCACCATATCATGCATGGAATTACACTTTATAACACCCAATTATGAGATACGTTGGAGTAAACCAATGCACAACTGATTTGAAAAATATGACTTATATATATCTCTATTTGAAGAAAAGAAGATATTATCGTCTTAGAATTAGTCGTGATTAAATCCATGAAGTAATCTCTACGCAAGGGTTTAACCACTACTTAAAAATCCTTATATTCTAAGTACTCATGAATACTGCAACAATCCCTATGTAATGTCCAATCCCTATTGACAATCTGCAATCAATTCATGACAGTATTAAATCAATACTTACTCCCAAAGGCATGGTTGACTGTGGCATTTCTAATAAATTAATACTCAGGAAGTAACACATAAAACGAAACGCAATAATAAACTAATTGTTCCATGGCATCATACTCTTTGAATATAAATAATTCCCTATTATTTAATCACCGTAACAATTACAGATTTATCTATTGTATAAATGTTTCAGGTTAATTGACTTATCAGCTAAAGTTTTCAACATTTCTCATGCCAATGCTCTTAGCATGCATATGAGGTTTTCCATTGGCCATCACTATTGTAAACGAATCATCTAAAATATATTCACTTCATAACTAGATCTCCATCCTTAACATTGTTTTTGATGTAGTGGAATTTCCTCCTTATATTCATTGACCTTCTTTGATCTCAATAATCCTTAGTCAACATGACTGCACTTCCATATAATGTTTCTAATGACAATTTTTCACTCAAAACAAAGTTAAGGTCAACTTTGAAGCTTTATAATCCAGGTACACTCCTTGGATACTTCACTTGCACGAATGTGGTCTTTCCCATATTATTGAATCTACCACCATCTTCTACATCAAACCTTTCATGCTACAACTCAAAATGAATATCCATTTAGACTACGACTCAGTATCATCTCTGAAATGCGTGTCTCTATAACCCTTCTCAATAATCTTCTCTACTGTCCACAAACAACCATTCCTTGGTATCTATGAATACCTAAGAATGTTCTTGAGACTTGTCTAGCAATTTTGTAGGATCCTATGGAAATGATATTGTGGAATTAAGAACAATCAACATGAATCAAACGGTAATAGAAAGAACACAAGATGTAAATAATTTTGTTTAGCTCATTTGATGTCTGGAAGGTAATCTTATGTGTATAAATTTGGCAATGTATGAACTATCTCCCTCCTAACACTTAAGACTACAACACTATTTATATTCGTACCCTCAATAGACTTAAAGTGTACAATGTGACTAAGCTATCAAGGTACACCATGAAAATGCTCTCTGAAATACATAGATATATCGAAGGTCCTTCCCTTCGATATAGAAAACATCTATGACCTATAGAGAAGTTGGGTCTTCTACATAAACTTCAATAGAGAAGCTTCCCAATCACCTTCTCTGTCACCTTCTCAACACCTTCTCTATTTCCTTCTCAAAACCTTCTATAGAGAAGCTTATAGACATCTTTCTCTATCATAGATGCCACATCATCAGTTTAAATATTTCTTGACTCAACATTCTCCCCTAAATGTTGTATTTGATGAGGAACATGGTTTTCACATATGGAATTCTCCCCCTAAAAGTGTGAGAAGCATCGACATTTTGGGGACTTCAAAGAAAGAGGAACAAATCTGAAAAATATCACCATCGAAGTACATAGATCTAAAAATTCAAACTCCCCCATGAACAAATAATCCTCCTCCTTTAATCTTCGAGATAAGCATGAAAAAAATCTTTGATTGCTAAATTTTTTCCAAAAGTACGCTAAGATCTAAAAACGTCAACCTTCTTAATGGTTCATAAGGAATGTCCAAAATGAAGGTTGCGGAGCTTTGAATGGGAAAAATAACTCCTGAATGAGTTAGAGGCGAACTTCACTATTAATGTCGAAAATTTTTCTTAGATCTGAAAATTTCGACTTCGCTATCAATGACAAAGGATGAATTGTAACACTCAGGTCTTCAAAGCTCTGACACTCAAACTTCACAAGCATACTTCACAGGTAAGATGTTCGAGCAAGCTTCCTAAGAAATATCTTTAAGAAGACTTCGGAAGTAAGAACTTTGAAGCAAACTTTGCAAGTGAGATCTTGAAGCAAACTTCACAAGTGAGATCTTGAAGAAAACTTTGCAAGTGAGATCTTGAAGCAAACTTTGCAAGTAAAGAGTGGTAGAACAAACTTTGTTACTCAAAAACTTTGAGCAAAGTTTGACACCCAAAACCTTCAAGAAAAAACTAAAACACAATATTTTTGTCTTTTCGAGTGCTTCTGTGGCTTCAAACAAAAAGACAAACAAACCAAAAATCTTTTTGAGCTTTCTGGGGTTTTTCTAAGGCTTCAAAGAACAAAGAACAAAGACGAAAATCTTTTTGTGTTTTTCGATTTTCTTGAGAATTATACCAAAAGAAAAGATAAGAAATAAAAATAAGATAGAGAAAATGTTATTTGAGAAAGTTTCACTATCAAAAGCGAAGGTCAGAGGCAGAAGTTAAACTTCAATATCATAATCGAAGGTTTTATGACTTCCCATCCACATCTTCCCAACCTTCCTCATAGGTTCAATTTGCACTCTAATGTCAAATACTTTGAAAAAATTTCGATATGCAAAACCGCTCCAAAACAAAGCTTGAAAAAACATCAACAACACTTTTTCAATGGGAATCCTTCAATTTACACGTCATTCTAACAAAGCTTGAGCAAAATACCCAACTTCTTGTTCCCAAACACTCGTTTGATGAACAAAACTTACAACTTTTCACTCTTCCCAAAACTTATTTTTACAAGAAAACACACTTCCCAAAACGACTTTATAGCTAACACTCACGTTTCTCCATGCATTTGACTTTTTAGGTACAACAGTCTAAGAGAAGACCAATCACAATTGATCATTTTCCAAAGTACATGGATTCCAACTCACTTCTCTTTCCAACTTTAGGAAGTCAGCAACTATAGTAAGTACTACTAGAAAATAGCCCTTTAATGACACGCAAACTATGACACGTACAAATTTATGATACGCAAAGGTGTGTGCCCTAAAAATAATGTCACCTCTCCCAAAATTAGAAGGATTTAGGACACACATTTTTGTTAGCCCTAAAATTAGTGTCCCAATAAAAGGAAAAAAACACGGAGGGCACCTAAAAAATATGTGTGTCGTGTAGAGGTGTCACCTTATATTTTTTTTAGGGAACGCACATTTTGCTTAATGGCTAGGCGGAAAACAAAATCCCAAAAAAATCAAAACACCCGCCTTGTTCTGATCTACCTTCATTTCTATCTTTCTTTTCCTCTTTATACCAAGTATGTATCTCTTCTCAATTCATCCACCGATCCCCGTTCTCCATTAACCACAACTCAGACTTCTTCTTCAAGAAAACATCCGACTAAATCCTTTACAGGCGACTCAACCATCACATAGGTTCTCTCTACCGCTTGTGGTATCGATTCAAAACATGTATCCCACCTCTTCCATCATCCATCAACACATCTATATCGTAATACGATTCTTTCTTCTTCAAAATCCATTAAACCAGCGTACGTATGAAAAGTTAGAGAAAAACATATGGCATGTTGAAGGTGAAGCATATTCCTCCAGTGGATCGTGATTTTTAGTCAAGATAACACCATTTTCTTATTATGGGTCAACTGCAATCCATTATATGTCCGTCTCCTCTTCCCTTGTTCCCCCAATGCCTTCCCTATGCCACCTTCTTCTCTCTTCTTCCAGTGACATCCCAATTCCTTCATCAGACTCATCTCTGCTGCTTCACCAAACGCCTCTCTACTGCACTGATCTTACTGTTTTCTTACAGTTGGCAATTTGAAGTGTATAAGGTATTTTATTCAGCGTTTGACTCTTTCTGTTCCCCTGATTCTGAGTATTCTAGCCCTAATTCATTTTTTTTCTTAGCCCTAATTGCATTTTCTATCTATTTTCAGGGGTCGTTAAAGGTGTTTTGTGTTGGGGTAGTATGGGAAGAGAGATATTTCATGGTTAAGTGTCATGCAAGTCTTATATAACATGAAAATGGGCAATATATGTAAGGACTTGGTCACTTTTCAGATTCAAGATGAAACTACCAATGGTAGTTGTTTAGAGAATCATGTTATATACATTCTATAGAACAATCGTTGATGCTTATATGCTGGTACAAGTTAGTATTCTTCTATATATAAGTTGGGAAGATTGGTTTTGGGCAAGCATATGTTGGGAGACAGGAAAGTCGTGGTAAAAAAAAGGATAAATGCTTATGCAGGGAGCTTTTGGAAATCCATTGTACCTCATTGAGCCCAACTTTCTACTAACAGGTTTTCTACATGAACCCTAATTTGATTTCAATTCTTGTTACTTCTTACCGTCAATCCTATCAATGGTTTTTTTTCCGTTTAAACCTATTCAACTGGTCGATTTTCCTCTGATCTGTAAACTCGAATTGGCTGAAATATCGGTGCAGGATTAACATTTTCATTCCACATACTTGGTTTTCATATTTTTTGAAGGTGGCAACAATGTTTGCAGTGATGTTAGATACTGATTACATGACAAAACCTGTGTCCAAACAAAATTTCTGGAATGATTGGAGGAAGATATTGGGAAGGAATCACACAATCCAGAGTTTAGAGGATTGTGATTTCAAACAAATATACGACTGGCATCAAAGGGAAGAGGAGAAGAAGAAGCAAATGAGTACAACAGTAAGTTTATATATATAAATTTTTAGGAATTTAAATTTAAATATACAATAATTATTGGTATAACTTTTCTTTTTTACACTTTTGCAGGAGAAAAAGGTGATAAAAGAAGAAAAAGGCGATAAAAGAAGAAAAAATGAAGTTGTCATGTTTTCCCCATGAAGTATTTAAGTTACTGATGTTGTTGTATTAATCTGTATATAATACCCGACTGAGATACTTTGAGTGACTGAAGGTGAAAAAGAAACGAGTTGGTCGGGATGGAAAAATAGTTGGGCTGGTCCCTGTTCTGTATGTTAGCCAGTCATGAATGAAAACTAATTCTCAAACTTTTTGAGTGTTGAGGATTGAGGGATTAGATTGTATTGGTTTTTTGGTAAATGCATAGCCATCATATTCATGTGATAGGCCGGGGCAGGGGCGGGGGCAGGGGCGGGCATCATGTTGTGCATTATGTGTAGAACAACAAGTAGTCAGCAATTGTGTGATTGATAGATTGTTCCTTACCTATGTATTATATATATTTCATATTCAAGTGTAAAATGAGCATGCTGTTTTCCTCGACAAACAAAAAAAATTTAATAACAATAACAACAACAACAACAATAATAATAATAATAATAATAATAATATAATAATAATAATAATAATAATAATAATAATAATAATTTTACACATTTTTAACTACTTACAGTTACCAATTTTTTATAAGATTACGATTACATCAATCGATAGGGTATCTGCATTTGATCCAAAAATCAGCTTTGGCTCTACAGAGGCTTGTCCACGCAGCAGTACGTACCATATGGTATTTCTACCGAGTGAGTTTGATTATTTAAATGTTGCTCGGTGTTTGATGAATAAGTTTACTTTCATGTGTGGTTCCTTGGTGAAAATGCAAATTATGCTGCATCCAAGTATGCTTGGGAATTAAGAACCCTTCATGGGACGACACTCATGATGTTAGATGCAGATAAAATGGTTGCAGCTGCTAGTTCTATATAATATATGTATGTATGTTGCTACATAAATCATCTGATTGTGATTGATATTTTTTCATCTCAGGTTCGTATCATTGCTGCTCAGGCTCTTAGCACCATGGCAATCAGATCGGGTGAGCCTTACATGATACAAATCTATGAAATTTTACATGCTCTGGCACAAGGGGGTGTGCAGTCTCAGTTTTCAGATATGCATATTAGTAATGGGGAAGATCAAGGAGCTAGTGGTACGAGTCTTGGATCTCTAATTAGTCCAATGCTCAAGGTTCTTGATGACATGTATAGTGCACAAGATGATCTCATAAAGTGCGTATGAATGAGTCATTATTTATTTATTTTTTATTCTGCAAATCGTCATATAAAGGTTTGTAATGAATGTTTTTTGTACTTGAGTTTGCAGGGAAATGTGTAACCATGATAATGCAAAAAAAGAGTGGAGTGATGAAGAACTGAAGAAGCTATATGATACACATGAAAGGCTTCTAGATCTTGTTTCATTATTCTGTTATGTTCCAAGAACAAAGTATCTACCTCTAGGGCCAACAAGGTAATATATTACTGCATCAGTATCAGCAACTGTTGTATTTTTTTATATTGAATGTAGCAGAAGCTTATTCATTTGTGTTTGTTTACAATCTTCAAACAGTGTAAAACTGATTGAGATATATCGGAACCGGCATAATAATATTTCATCAAGTGGCATGAGAGATGTTACTGTAGCTATAGGGATTTCTGAACTATTATATGAATCCATAAAACCAGCAGCTGTGGAGTCTGACAATAATCTTGATGATGATATGGTAAATGCTTGGGCAACAGGTCTAGCTGATGATGGTTTGTGGGGAAGCAATTCTCCTGCAGTGAATAGGGTGAGAAATGATCTATTTTTTATTATGCAAATCAACTCAGATTTAGGCCCTGATCGGGAAAGCATTTGTTTTCTTGAATTAAGGCGATAATATAATTTGGTGTTGGTGTTAGGATTTTGGAAGGTTAATGAGTTTCTTGCTGGTGTTGGGACTGATGCACCCAATGTTGATGATGAGAGCATTATTTGAAGACCATCAATGAGTTATGATGATATATGGGCAAAAACTCTATTAGAGACTGCAGAAGTTGATGTAAGAATTCAATGCATGTTATTTATGATTGTGCAATTTGATGCAATAAATATATATGATATGTTTGTTTGTAGGATGCAGGAGGACTTCTGGATCTTCTTCTCCAGATTCTGTAGGGTCGGTTGAGACATCAATTTCATCCCATTTTGGAGGAATGAATTATCCATCCTTGTTCAGTTCCATACCATCAACTTATGGAACTTCACAACCCACAATATGTAAATCATAAAATTTGAAAGCTATTTTGTTATTTGATAGACAAGCTGTTCAGGTAAGTAAGTAATTTAATGGAATAATTCCTGTTGTAAGATGTCAAGTCCCTTAGCTTCTCTTGCTGTTTGCCTAATATTTATGGGAGATGAATCATAGAGGTGAGATTCTTTTGTAACTGTAGTTAATTGAATCTTTCTTGCTTAAATAAATAAACCTTTTGGATTGTGTATAACTGCAGAAGAAGATGTTTGTTCAGAAATTTGTACACTGGAAAGTGACATAGAGAAGAAAAATTAGTAAGTGATTACTTATTTACTTACTTTATATATATATATATATATATATATATATATATATATATATATATATATATATATAACATAGATTGATGACGGTTGAAGCCTTTCTGATTACTAATGTGTTGATGATTAAAACATGTATCATGTGGAAACAAAAGCATAACAATAAGAAGTAGAAACAAGAAGGTGTTCCTTAATAGCAATGTAGTATTAGGTTATATAGTTAGGGAAAACCTCTTAATAACAATGTACAATCAGATCCCCTTAATACCAATGTATTACAATTTTTTGACATGATGTTATTGGATGAAACTGATTGTTTTGGTATATATTTGTTTCCATATTTTTGTATTATGTGTAAATGAGTATCGTAAAGACGCGTCGTAAATGTATATCGTAAATGGTTGTTGAAGTTTATGACACACAAATGCGTGTCATCTTCATTTATGACAGGGGCTTTAATGATACGCTATGACAGGTCATTCCTTGACTCGCATTGCATGAAGATGACACAAATGCGTGTCATCTTCATTTATGACAGGGGCTTTAATGATACACAAATGCGTGTCATAAATGCATGTCGTAAATAGACGACGCGCAAAAGCATGTCGTGTTTCGTTATGACAGGTCCTTCCTTGACTCGCATTTGCGTGTCGTCCGAGCGTTTTACGACACACATTGCATGTCGTAAAAGGCTGTTTTTGTAGTAGTGTCACTTTTTCTGATAGTATACATGCATTAATGAATTTTCAGTGTTGTTCAGCTTTTTCAGAACATTTGTCTCCATCAGCTTTACCTGAAGTTCAAGAAACAACAGCCCATGTCATTCTCGAGGCACTTATGAACTCTCGATGTCAACATCTATCTGTGATATCGTTTTTCTAATCAACTAGAAAATAAAGATCACAATTTCCTATGCAGCTGTTAAGACGAGTCCAAAATGTTGCTATTAGCTTTTCATATGCACAAACCGACAGATCATAGTATTTAATAAAGGAATAGCTTTTTCAGTGGATCCATTTTCGTTGTTCCCTTTGACCGAACAGTAGTCAAAATTAGCATTAATTATCTTAACAGCACAGTTGTCTCATGTTTATTGGAACATGAAGAATACTTTCTCCTTTTAATACTAGTTGACTGACCAAAGATACCCATGGTTAGATGCTATCAAAGGTCAACAACAATATCTTTTTATTAAAGCATATAGTAAAACTTTGACATGCACAACATGCACTTTTAACCATTGCACATTTCCCAGATTGACACTAGCTGCTTTTCTTTTATAACTTTCCCATTATTTGGAATATATTTACTTCAACATCAATATGTATGTCGAAGAAAAGCTCAAATTTGATTTAATTTGTAACATATAGCTTCAAATGTTTCATTAATACCCCATTGAACAACGCTTCGGTATTAACAAAAAGTTTTAGGAACCCACTTGAGATTGAGAACTTGAGAAAATGCATAGTAAATTCTTTTCCCTTTAAAAAATATATGAATTGAATAACGAAGATCCAATACCTCACTTATGAGAATAACACAAACTTATAGGCTCTTTGGTAGGCACATAAAAATTATCAAACATCACATTGCACCAACCATAAGACTTTTTCTCACTTCTCCAATACCGAACTTTGTCATCATGTTCAATTTGAGGACCTTCAACATTTTTGGCTTTGAAGTTTGGCACCGTAGCAACATTAGACGATTTTTTCTTAGGCAGCTAAAGTTTCTTGGTTTTATTCTTCTTCATCTTCTTCTTCTTTTTCAACTTTTTTTGACTTTGAAGATTCAAAACCAAAAGACGCAACATCTTTCTTCACAACTTTGACATTGCACTTTTGAATCATATCCTTTCGAGTTCAATACAATTGAACATTTTGAATTTTTAACTGTCTATAAGGCACCATTCCTTCAAATGAATCACATGAACATGAATAATCTTTCGTTTGAGTTCCAATTTAACAAAACACTTTCGCAATTTTAGGAGATTTGCTTTGAAATTCTTCAGTTGACATATCATATTTGGATAGTAAATCTTCTGAATCACAAGAATTTCCAAAAACACTTAACTCCACCTCAACATGAGAATTTGGAGTTATCACCTTTTCTAGAACCTCAAGAACATGAAGAACACTATGGACATCTTCAAGAACACATTTATGAACTTCATGAACACCTGGATAATTTTCAAGTACATTGAAACCATATGTACATGGATCAAGACGAATTCCTTTTGATGACTTCACCTTATTTCTTATTCCTTCTTCTCTCATGATAAGTAGAAATCAATCGATCAAGCAAAAGTTTTTGATTTTTGTGATCAAGAGGATAACCAATTAATTCTCCATGATTATCCTTTTCACCAGAAGAAATGAGTGAATATTCTTTAATGAATCCAATAGTCAAGAAATAATGAATTTCTTCAAAGGTGTGGGTGTAAGGATAACATTTTTCCAATACAAACCATTCCTCAGTAATTGCTTCTTCCATTTCAAATCAGAAAACAAAAAGATTACAAGATCTTGAATATTTTAGGAGAGAGAAAACAGATCTGAAACGAACTCTAGAGATAGAAAGTGGATATGCAACAAATTTTAAGAGATCCATAACAAATCTATGAACAAAAGATGAATCTCTTCAACAAAATTGTTTCTAAAACATAAATCAATAACATATCTAAATGAATTAGCGAATAAGAAAAAAGATCCGAAAATGTTCTAGAGAGAGAAAATCAAATCTGAATAAAACAAAGAATTGAATTTTGATTTCTAGAACAAGAATTCCTTCCAAAATAGAATACTTACAACACTTGAAGAATGATGTAAGATTCATGAGATCAAATTGTCATTTAGGATCGTCGTTCTTGAAACAGTTGCTTAAACCTCCAAGATTTGGCTCTGATGCCACATGTAGGATCCCATGGAAATGACATTGTTGAATTAAGAAAAATCAACATGAATCAAACGGTAACAGAAAGAACACAAAATGTGAATAATTATGTTTAGCTCAATTGATATTTGGAAAGTAATCTTAAGTGTACAAATTTGGAAATGTATGAACTCTCTCCCTCCTAACACTTAAGACTACAACACTATTTATAGTAGTACCCTCAACAAACACAAAATTTACAGTGTGACTAAGCTATCAATGTACTACATGAAATGCAAAATGAAATACATAGATATATCGTAGGTCCTTCCTTTCAATATAGAGAACATCTATGACCTTCTATAGTGTGACATCCCCATTTGCGTGGCCTTTTCAAAAAAACTCTTTTGTTTATGCTTATTTAAAACATTTGTTATTACAGAATTGGTCCCCAAATATCCTTGACATCATATAACATGAAAATCAAGGCATCTTAGAAGATTTTGTTTTTTAAAATCCTGAGATTTCATAACTGATACAAGAAACATAAGCATAAATGGAGACTTACAAAATCTCATTATACTAATGATCTACATTCCCTTGAATCTCTCAGCAAATAATTATGTTATATATTGTGACAACCCAAAACTTTCATTTGTATAAACTCTACAGTCAAGCACTTCAAATAATAGTCAAATTCATTTCAGTACATTTTGGCCGGTTTAAAGTCCGTTTGGGTGTGTTTAAAATAAATTCATGAAACGAACAAATAAAAGGGAGTACCTTCTAGGTGGAATGTGTAACAAATAAACACCTCACACCATAACAAGGTGTTTACGGCCAAACTTGGGGAGTTTGGGCCGTAAACTCCTCTTCACCTTGAACTCATGCATAAGGCATGAGTTTACTCCCCACTTCCTCACTTTACACTTCCAAGCTCAAGAACACCCAACTTTTCTCTCAAGTATCACAACACATTTCTTCAAAACTTCCAAAAATGTAAGTGTTTTATCTCTTGTTTTGTTGTTATAACACTTCATCTAGTAGTTATACATGATTTCATCCATGAAATCTTGTCTTTTTCATAGATCTTCAACTGTTCTTCAAAACACCAAGAACACCAAGAACACACACTAGTGTTTTTGGGCCTTAAACACTCTTACAGGCTTCCTATAAGTAAGTACACTTCTCCTAACTGGTTATGTGCTTAGATTACTTGTCAAGGGATCTCCTTGAACCGTAAACACCATCAAGTGGTGCATAAGTGCCACCATTACCTTCTAGGGCTTGGATATTGGACTAGAACCTTGCATGCATGAACTAAAGACCCCAAAACACGAAATGGTAGGAGTGACCATGAGTTTACGGCCGTAGACTCATGGGTTTACGACCGTAAACTCCAAGGGAGTGGTCCATGAACCGTAAACTCCAATGAAGGGCCATTTTGAGCCCTAGTCCCTTCCTAAGCCTTGGATACAAACCTAGATCAATTCCTTGAGGGGTATAAGACCTTAAAACACACAATGGTACAAATTACCATGAGTTTACGACCGTAAACTCATGGGGGAAAAGACCAAAAACCGTAAACTCATGTATTGTTACCAAATGGGAAGTAAACTCCAATGTGAGGCCATACTCTCTTTAGATACAACCCTTTAGTACTCCTAGCACTTGAATCAAAATGTTATCCTTGTATTAGGGTGTCTTTACTTGATAAATTGGTTGTTAAATGACTAATTGGATACATATATGTATCATTACATGTTAAATAGGATCCGTGTGTGTGTTCAAGTCTCCACTTGACACTTAGCATTCTATCCGGCACTC